TCTCCAAGGTGATTATGTGATTTTTATCTTTGATTCTATTTATGTGGTATGTTTATTGATTTGTGTATTTTGAACCATCCTTGTGTCCCTGGAATGAAACAAATTTGATCATGGTATATGAACTTTTAAAATGTTGTTGAATTTGATTTGCAAGTATTTTATTGAGGATTTGTGTATCTATGTTCATCAAGGTTATTGATGTATAAATGTTTTTGTTGTTGTTGTTGTGTCGTCAGATTTTGGTAGCAGGGTAATACTGGTTTCATAAAATAACTTTTTTTTCTTTTTAAACTATTTTAATTTTAGTTGATGCATAGATAAATGTCCAAACTTATAGGGTGCAGTGTGACATTTAAATATACATATATGTACATATATAGTGAATAATTGTGTTTCTGTGTACATAAGCATCCATGTGTCTGCAAACACAAACAACTTGCTCCTTCCTATTGTTTACAGCAGTATCTGTCTAGAGATGATGATTTCAAATTTTGTGGGCACAAATATAGGCAAATTAGGAAGTATTGCTTTTCATGCATTTGCAAAACAAATCCAACATTTGTAAAACACAGTCTAATACTGTTTTATCTTTTGAAATGAGGAAACAGATGACTAGCTTATGGAAAATCTAGACTAGATATTTATAAATTCAAAGCTATCAAGTTGTTATGCTTCTTTTTGAAACAAGCCTTTTCTAAAGAAGACTAATGACTAATAAAGTGTGAGTGCAGGCACACAGGCAGGAAATTGGATCAAAATCCAACAAATTAGGACACAGTCCAGAAGATGTCTTAAGGGTAATGTTCACAGAATGATTTTGAAAAGTTCTTTTCCTCTCTGTTTTATGAATTAGTTTGTGTAGTATCAATTTTAACTTTTCTTTAAAAGTCTGATAAAATTCATCAGTGAATCCATCCAGTCCTGGACCTTTTGTTGTTGGGAGACTTCATTACTATTTCAACCTAATTGCTGTTTGGGTTCTAATATCCTTTGGGTTCAATTTTAGTAGATTGTAAATATCTAAAAATTTATCCATCTAGATTTTCCACTTCATTGGAATTCAGTTGGAATCCTTAAATCTAAAGCAGTAATTGTTCAGCAGCCGTGGTGCCCACATTGCACACTGGTTTTTACTATTCACCTGTCCTACATACGGTAACTTTCCTGCAGGGATAGAAACCCTTAGTGAAAATCAATTGTTGGTAGCTGTGATGATGAAGAGGTCTGAGAGTAATCATTCTTAGTATAAGAATGAGAAATTTTGTAAGGAAAATTATTCTATATGACAGCACTTCTCAAGTTTGTTGCATAAGATGTTTCTGGTTTCTTATGGGGACAAAATAAAAAGAAAGGTTTCATGAGGTACTTTTAAAAAAAAATGCTCTTTGGCCAGTAAAGTGTGACACTTGCTGGGTTAAACAATGTCTTTATTGCAAGGCATAACAGTATCAGACGTATTGACGTGTATATCTAATTTCTGAGAGAGGACATACAGTATGTGCTGACAGAATTCTTTTCCCGTGGGGCATAACAGAAACCAACATTCCCTGGAATACATTCGAGGAAATATTGTTATAATAGAATTTATAGATCTGTTTGTAATGGTCTTTCCTCCTGTCTGTCGGTCTGTCATCAGCATCCTGTCTCTTCCAGCTTGAATCCTGTGGTGCATTTCATCTTCTTTCCTTCTCTTACCCTCTATGACCAGTTGCTGCTAAGCTATTTTGCTGCTCCCTGTATCCTGCATCTTCTGTTGTCCTCTTTCCGTAATCCTTTTCTGGCCTTGAATCCTCACAGCTGTCTTCTCATTCATCTTTCCATGCTGTTTTCCCTCTCACTTAGCCATTACATATCTGCCAATGTAATCTTTATGAGCTTTTCAGTGTCAACCCCCTATGCAAAAACTTTCAGTACCTGTTGTGCCTATGACAAAATACAAACTTCTTAGCCTGCCTGGGTGCGACTCTACCCTATTTTTAAAACTTGTGGCAAAAACCTCATATCAAAAATTTAAGTGTCCAGTGCACTATTTTTAACTATATGCACATTGTATTGCAGATCTCTAGATCTTTTTTCATCTTTCTTTTCTATTTATTGAGTATTTCCTTTTCCCCAGCTCTTGGCAACTACCTTTCTACTTTCATCTAAGAATTTGATTAATTTACGTACCTTATGTAAGTGGAATCATTCAGTATTTCTTTGAATGGCTTATTTCACTTAGCATGATGTACCTAAATTATCTAAATTATTTGCAACTGCTTCCCAGCATGGACCTTCGGCTAATTATATAGTTAAAAAATTTTAAACTCTTAAAAATTTTATCATTTTATGAATTATTTCAAATATGAAGAAAATATGTTGAAAATAATATACTTTCCTACATCTACAGATGTTAACATTTTTCTGTTTCATATAATTCCACCCTGCTTTTTTTTTTTCCTTTTTGGTACCAGGGATTGAACCCAGGAGCACTCGACCACTGAGCCACATCCCCAGCTCTATTTTGTATTTTATTTAGAGTCAGGGTCTCACTGAGTTGCTTAGTAACTCACCATTGTTGAGGCTGGCTTTGAACTCATGATCTTCCTGCCTCAGCCTCCTGAACCACTGGGATTACAGGCAGGCACCACCACACATAGCTGTTTCATATAATTTCTTTTTAAAAAGTAAAAAAAAGCATTATGTGTTTTTCTGAAGACCTTCTTATTATGCATCCCTTCCAGAGGAACCACTTCCTGAAATTGGTTTTATTTCCATATATCTTTTAAAAATGTATGTTTTTAAATATTTGTAAAATTGATTTATATAAACAAACCCATACTCTATTCATCTTTTTGTAACTTCCTTTTATCACCAAATATTGCTTTTGATATTCATTCATTTTAGGTATAAATCCAATTTTTCACCTTAACTCTTGTAATATTCTGTTGTATGGGTAAATTGTAGTTTATTCTTCTACTAATGAGCAATTTAGGTTTTTAAAATGTTTTTCCTATACATTGTAGGAGTGAATATACTTGCCATTGTCTCTTCTTCTATACCTTTGAGTTTCTCTAGGCATGGATCTTAATTTTTTGTGTTGTTTACCTTCTCGACACTCTAGTATATCTTATGGATTGCTTCTCAAAATAATGTTTACAAATGCATAAAATGCAAAGAAAATAAATTATTTAAAGTAATTATTAAAGTATTAAAAACAAGTTTTATCATATAATACACATGGCTCCAAGTCACATCATTTACTGGTAGGTCTAATAACTTCCACAAATTTGAAGTACTGCCGAATGGAAATGGTTTTTTAAGATTTGCTGTATTTGTAATATAATTTCTATGGGGACAAGCACAGGTACTTTTACACTATTGTGTTTCCTTGCTTACATTCATAATTGAGGGAAATTTTAAATTTCACCTAGGGGCTAATAATTTTTTCCCTTCCAAGTTCAAAATTTTGCTATTTATCCAGTTTTCCTGGTTGTATACATTATGTAACTGAAATAATTTTAACAAATTATTTTAGTTTACAAACTATATAGAATAATAACTGACAGTTATTGAACTCTTAGTATGTGCTGGGTACCATGTTAAATTTTACATGCATTGTTCTCTCATAAATCTTCACACAAGAGAGAGGTATTAGTTTTATCTCCATTTTACAGATAAGAAAACTGAAACTTGGAGAGGGAGTCACTTTCTCATGGGTCCCACAGGTCACTCATGATCAACAAAGCTAAGATCCAAATCTTGGTTGGCCAGCTCCAAAACCCAAGTTCTTCATTACCGTGTTATAGAATCCATATTTCCATAATGTAAAGAAAATCATACTTTTCATTTTATTACTCTACTACTAGGCTAGCTAAGGTGATTATTGCATTTTTTTCAAATCAGAGATGAATTCAGCATTAAAATATATAGTAGATCTTGTAAGCTACAACATAAGAAGGGATAGGGCATTGGGGATAATGTGAAATACCCAATTCAGGCCTAATTCAAATGTATACATAAAGTTCCATCACAGAGCTTATGTAAAAGATGAATGTTTTCAATTAATGAAGGCTATGAATTACTTAAATGACAAGCTTTATCTTCCCCTGCCCCCGTGGTGAGAAAGCTTAAATGTATTGTCCACCTGTTGTAACTATCTAGATATTAGTGCAATATACAGAGAGATGTATATATGAGAGAGAGAGAGAGAGAGAGAGAGAGAGAGAGAGAGAGAGAGAGAGAGAGAGAGAACGTGAGAGTGTGTGTGTGTGTTGCTCATGTCTTGTTCCATTAATGTTTTTCTTATTTTCTTCCTTTGATCTTTATTTCTGTTATCTTGGAATATTTTATGAACCCTTGCAATCCATGGCATTGGTGAACACATGCATTTACATGGCTACATATAACAAATTTATGTGGTAGGCAGACTTCTAAGATGGTACCCAGTCTCTGTTTGCTGTACGTACATACACCTTCTCTTAGTCATCTAATCAAACACAAATGTAGGTGCTACCCCGAAGGGATTTTATACATATAATTAAGGTTCCAGATCAGATGACTTTAAGAAAGGGAGATTATCTTGGGAAGCTCGACTCAATCAGTGCACCTATAAAAGGGACTGGCTCCTTGACAAAAGAGAATCACAGTGCGAGAAGGATCTGATAAGAGGGAGATTCACATGGCTAGCTCTGAAAATGGACAGTTCTACCTGGCAAGGAATACAGGTGGCCTTGAAGAGCTGAGTGCAGTGTCTGCCTGACAGACAAAAGACATCTGTCCTACAATTGCAAGTAACTGAATTCTGTTACAGTCACTTGAGCTGGGAGGAACATTTTGAGCTTCCAACTAGAATGCAGCCCAGCTGACACCAATTTTCGTTTTATTGTGAACAGAGAACTCAGATGCATCATGCCCAAACTTCTGATATGCAGAACTATGATCATTAGGATGTTGCTTGAAGCTTCTAAAGGTTTTGCTAATTTATTACAGCAGCAGCAGAAAACTAAAACAACTGGATATTTTGCTTCACAAAATTGCACTATTATTTGTTAAATATTTATTGATGTTAAATCCACATTACACCAGCACAACAATCCAAAGTAGTATGATAGTACTTTTTTTTTTTTATAAATACAACATAAAAGGTGGCAAAATAATGCTAGTTAATCCCAAACCCAGCAAATTAGCAAAAAAGTCACATTCAGAACAATTTGGCAATATATGACATAAGTCATAATTCTACAATACAGATATAGGTCCAGGAGACTGTCTGTATAGTATCTTAAACTCCATGTTAGCAATGCATGTAAGTGTGGTAAAAGAAACTTGTACCATGCTGTATAGAACATCTGCCACCTGGTGCTCAAGCCTATTAATCATTTAAAACTTGGTTGGTTGGTGTTCTTACAAAGTAGAAAGCTGTACATGTGAAGCAGTAATATGAAATATATGGGGTGGTATACAGATATAAAATTATTTAAAAAATACTATGAATTGAGTAACTGAGCTAAGAAAGTTCAACACTTTTATTATAAATAATGAAAGATATATGTGTTCTGCATGAGGAATACAGTGTTTTCTTTTCATAGCAAAGTACCATTAAAGCCTCATGTTTTATACTATTAGGCCAAATTATTTTTTCTCATTTAAAAATTTTATTGGTTCCGACTTAAAACTATCAAGTCTGGTCAGAATCAACTCAGTCTAGCTGATGCAGAATCGTATGCATTCAAAAAGCAGTCTTTGTAGATATGCCTTTCAAACTACTCAGAACCCAGCACCTTCTTCAGGCAAGGTTTCGTGGCAGCAGGGGAGTGAAATAGCTTCCATTCACCATATCTAGTGCCAATGAAAAAAATGCATTAAGCACAGACTTGTTTTTGACTCTCCTTAACTCTCCATTTCCATCAAGTACACTAGATTCTACAGGCAATTTCTCATTTATGCCACTCTTGCGGTCTCAATCCATATTCAACTTGCTCTACACATCTAAAATCTTCAACTACTACACAAACTTCAGATAACACTGAAATCTCCATAGCACATGTGCCCCAAACTTCCATCTTGACTTGTGAATGGCAGTGTTTTTTCACCTGCACCTTACGATTAATTCTGAAGAAAACCAAAGAAAAGCCTGGCCTTTGCCACCTCTCCTGCCCCTTCTACTTTTTTCTAAATGAATACAATACAGTTGTGCTGGTAGCATTTTCCTTCATTCTCCTCCCTATTCCTTCCAAACCCTCTTTTCCTCCAAATATACTATATACCTTGGTCATTTGGGCAGTTTGGATGCCTTTTGTGGAATGAACTATAATATATATCTGCTTTACTCACAATACTTTATATTATTTATATTTAAATTAGCCTTTTAATATGGTTTGTAAATAAGCTTCTTACCAAGGTAGCATGAAAAGAGAATACTACACAAAAGAAAAAAAAAAGGTTAAGAACGAAGATATTAACCTTGTTAGAAAACTCTTGGTATTAATAAAAATTAAGGCAAGTAGTTCCTTATGATTTAATATAAAACAGTTTGCAAAGACAAGGCATTTACTTGGATTTCTTTGTCATTTTCTCTTCCTTTTCATCCTTACATATTGCACTTGGTTCACTGTAGCTGTTGAATACACTGCACTTTAGAATCATTGTAGTATCACATTAAACATTTCACGCTATTGTGCTACATAGCACCTATAGTTTGTATTTAAAGGCACTTGTCAATATATGTTTATTTTTGATTTCCTGTAACGTTTTGGCATTTCAGAGCACTTTAATCACGCAATTCCAAGTTTTAAACTGAACAATAAATGTGAATTTTTTGTGCAATGTGTGTCTTTCTATACGTATCACCTACTTAAACTCTAGTTTGGTATGTCAAGTAAGAAAAATATTATTTTGGTGTTTTTCTTTTTATTTCTTATAGTCAAAGGTATATTTCTGCCTTTTACATAACGTGGTGGAGGAATATGTTGGTCAAGGCAATGGCGGTTTCGGTGTTTCAACTTTAACAATAATGCTGGATCACAGGTCCTCACTTTCTACCAAGCCAGTATTCAGTGTCAGGTGAGATGGGTTGGCTTCAGGTTGGAACGCTGCTTTGATGTCTAGTCCCTGGTCCGAAAGTGCTGCATAGCGACTGGCTGAGGGCCGTACTTTTTTTGGCTTGGTGGTCTGTGGCTGCTGATGCCACTGGGCTATAAAGAAAGAGTAAATTAAAATTTTTAACAAAGATACACTTGGAAAGCCCTTAAGTATTTCAAGTAAATACAGAATGTCTTTTGACATATACCAGGCACATATTCTTTGTGAAAGGCAACACATCCATTGTGGAGACAGAAAATCTAGGGATACCTTTGCATTTTACTTATATGTTGTAGATTTATTGTCTGTATTGGTAATAAAGGTCAAGTATATTTTCATTTTAAAATAATATTGTAGTACTGGGAATCCTTTCAAATAGTTAATAACTTTCCTAATTCTCACTTCTCCTTTTAAAAAATTTTGGTAGGAGGATTGAAGCCATGGGCACTTTACAACTGAGCTGCATCCCGAGTCCTTTTTAATCTTTTGAGAGAGGGTCTGACAGTTTGCTGAAGCTGGCCTCAAACTTGTGATCCTCCGGCCTCACCTTCTCAAATCACTAGGGTTACAGGCATGGTTCTTCCTCCTCTTTAAAAAAAAAAATACCTTTTTCATCAATAATTATAGTAGTTAAGAATTGTGGAGGGATGTTTAACATTAATAAATTGAATGGAAAGAACTGGGCAGTAGAGACAGTTTAAGCCACTGGTTTATTGATGAATCTCACAAAGCTATTTCTTTTTCAAGAGGTAAAATTTGAAATTGGTTCTTAAATCTTTTTCTGATGGCTTTCCTTATGCCAATGGATCATATAATGCTATTTTTCTAATCTATAAATTCAGCAGGAACTTTTTAAAAAAAATTTTGGATGCATGTACACAAATATACACACACAAATCTATTGCTGAGCTGCTTAAGATTAATGAGAAAAGCACCAAGCCACAAAAGTACACACTCCAGCATCAGTGGTACACACATTCAGAGTGCATTAAGACACCATGATAGGATTATAATGTAGGAAGAAATGTTAAAAGACAGTTATTTGCAGAACGAAGTAATAAGAAAACGTGACATTTATGCCTTTGTCTACTGTTAACTCCTAGGGATGCTTAAGTAGGGAAGCCACAACTGACTAGCCATTGTAAGAGAAATCAACATGCATATCTTGCTAATTATTCAAAGCTCCTTAATGATACTTGGGTATTTGTTCTCCTGCTGGGGTTTCATTATTAATGTCGAGAAACTATAAACAGAAAGAGAAAGAGCAATATAAATTTTTTGACAAGTAAAATGCTAGAGTTGTTTAAAAAGATCAGATTAAGAGTAACATGAATTGCTGTTCAGATGTTTAAATTTTCATAATTCAATGAATAAATGCAACCAGATGAAATGAAGTGGCACTCACTGTAAACATCCAGCCTGGCAGTACAGGACACAATCCCTGCTTCATTCTTGGCTGATACAGTATACCACCCAGCATCTTCTTTTGTGGCTCCCTGAATGAGCAGGCAGATGTATCCATGATTATCCTGGTGCATGCTAGAGAAAAGGATAAAGTCATTAGGCTCTAAATTTTTAAAAAGGGACTTTGGACATGAAGCATCATTCTTAATTAGGTCATTAGAAACAGAATTGTGCAAGTGGCAGATAATAGGGTCATACTTATTCTGGAGAGGCTGCTAGCCCCATTAAAGTTAATGGAAGAGAAGAGCAGACCTCAAGAGGTTGAATAAATCTGTGCACTTAATTCCTAGTTGGGGATCTGCTTTTACAAAAACCACTGAATAGTCTGTCACCACTGAAGCAAATGAATTCATCCTTTCTTTTGATGTAAACATTTAAAAATAATTACTGTTAACCTATCAATATAGTATCTATCTAAAGGTTTAAATCTATATTTCGGTAAAGAGTGATTTTTGTCTTTGGTATAATCAATAGCATGGCTTTTGCATACACTGATATAAATGGTACATAAAATGTATCTTTTTATATATCACTAGAACTGAGCTGCTGTGGGTTAAATTAAGTAATTGTGTAGTCTTACCTCACTCGATCTGTGCTATGGGTGAGTGATTCATTTTCTTTCTTCCAAAATATTTGAGGTGGTGGTACTCCTGAGACGCGGCATTCGAGCCGTACTGGGTACCCATCAGCAACTCCTGTATTTTGCAGCTTCTCAAGGAACACAGGAGGTTTGTGTGCTTCTTTAGCTAAGGGAACATGAGATGGATTGTCTATCAATGATATACAAAAGGAGCACTGCAAAGAATTCAGAAGCCTTTACAAATTTTGCTTGAAAAGATCTTTTATAATACCATTTTTCATTTCAGGTGATAAGATGCTAGTCTCTGTCCAAATTATTCTTTTATCAAGCAAAGGTTTGTAAACTTTCTACTCATTTATTTCCTCAATTAATTCAAGTCTGATAGGCTCACACAGTCCATTGGCCATCTGTTCCACAGAATGCCTGTCCAACAGCCACAGGAGATGCCCGAGTCATTGCTAGTATCCGTGATGGCTTCACTAATTATGTCACCACACACAGCCTCTACCAACCACTGCCACCTAGTGATGCTGAGCAGGACAAGCATTTCTAGGAGTCTGATCTGCTTAGATTCCCTCACTTCCATCTGAAATGTTTGCTTTGAAGATTTTGAAAATTTGAAATTCTTGGTTTAGGTGAGACATGCCAGAGGATATAAAGGGGGAAAGAAAATACAGAGCAGGCATCATTATGGCAATCTGGTAGCTTTAAATAGTTCCCTTTGAACTAGGAATGTACATCCCATAAATTACAAATTTCAATTTGTATTCTTTGAAAGGAGCTATAAAAAAGACAACTTTATTATTGCCTTATAGGAAGGAAGCCATAAAATGAAGACAACTTTATTATGTAGTCTGAAAAGATCAGAACTGATAATAACACTGAATGTTATCTCCCAATAAGAAATTGTTTTCTTGCATGAGTGGTAGAAACAAAATCAAAGAAAGAATTAGGTTTAATTATTCTCTTCTAAGCTGCCAGAATAAAATTTGAAGATATATACATGTCTTTCTGCACCACCACTCTCTCGCCTGGAGTGACAGATATACCCCAATAAAGCAGCTAGGAGGGAGCTCAAAGATGATGAACATTCAACCTGAAATTTCCAAATGCCTATGACTCTCTCAGACCTTGACTTACATAGAGGATTTGTTTTTATTAATTTTCCGAGGTTATATGAGCTAAGCTATTTTGGGGGAAGTGGGAACAGAAGCTCTCCTCATATTCTTTCTGGGTCTCAGTTTTGAAAAGAACATAAAATGTTGAAAGCAAGCCTTAATGTCGTAGCCACTCACCAGTAAGAATAATGTTCCTTTGTGGAGCACTGTGCAGGGCACTCGTTATGTGGAACTGCATACACAGTAATTAATTCTTGTAAAAATGCTGAGATGCCTTATGGTCCCCATTTTGCATATGGAGAAACTGAGATGCTAATATATGATATCATATATTTGCCAAAGGCCACAAGGCAGACATGAACTGGGATTGGCACTGAGATCTGATGCCAAAGACCTTGATTCCAATTACCATGCACTGTCATCTTCTAACAGAAGTGTGAAGAGAGGTATACTGAGATAGATATCTGTCTCTTGGACCCCCAAATTTCAGTCCTGAAGGACAGATATGATCAAAATGTACATTTAATAGAAAAGGGAACAGTTTTCATTTAAGGTTAGAAGAATGAATGAAACCAATCCAGTGTGTAGGAACATAGCTGAAGTTGCACCACAGCCTACACATTTACCACCTTTTTTGTGTGTGGAAAAATATCTTGATCCTATTGTTAGAATCATCATTAGGATTTTAGCCAGGACCTCTTAGGTTTTATTCTCCTTGCCACTCTATTTCTTGAAAAAGCTCAGTACTCACAGTAAGTTTTGATGTGAGTCAGATTCTCAGTTTACTAAATAGGAAAGTCAGAGAATATTTGCTCCAATTATTTCATAGGGCTATTGTGAAGACTAATTGAAATAATGTGTATGAAGTGCTTTGTAAATATGAGGTATGAGAAATAAACGTTATGTTTTGTTACGCTTCTTTTATAAAAGAGACCAGATGAGCTTGGTGCAGCAGCAGCATGCACCCCTGAAATCACAGCGACACAGGAGGCTGAAGCCGGAGGATCACAAATTCAAGGCTAGCATAGGCAATTTAGTGAGACCTTGTCTCAAAATAAAAAATTAAAAGGGCTGGAGATGTAGCTCAGTGGTAGAGCAATGCCATTAAAAAGAAAGAAAGAAAAAAAGATAATTAGAATCTTTACTTATGCTTAACTTCTAAAAATGGTATAAACTTTTCAATAAGCATAGTTTCCTTTTTAGGCTTCTCAAAGGGTAAGAGTTCATAAAATAATCCTGCTACAAAATTTACCTACAATCACAGTATAACCAATTGAAAACTAAATCTGAACTTAATTTGATTATGGCACTGGGTATAGATGACAATGTTGTTTAAACCTTTTGAAATTTGAAATCACTACACATTTTGTTAAAAATGAGTTCTGTGTGTTGAATTTGATTTATAATCATATTTTTCATTTTTTGGGGCCTGTGCTGCTAATATTCTTTCCCTGTGTAATACTGGGGCTATCACATATACGAGAACCTGGAAATGCTGCTAAAATCCTTTCCCTTCTTGTTCAGGTTAGTGGGAGAAAAGGAGAATAACGGCTACACTGGAGTAAGAAAAATTATTTCTGATTTGCTAAGCCTTATAATATGTCCTCACTGGTGATTTTGATGATATAATCTATTTTGTCAGTGGTTTATTTTCTATATTGGTTAAATAATGTAGACTTCATTTATAAGTGTAATCTGACATTCATTCTGGCAGAGAGAAAGGATTTACAGAGAAGCCTACCAGCAACCACAAGCTCCAGGCTGAATGAGTTCTGTCCTGCTCGGTTGGTGGCTATGCACGTGTAGATGCCGGCATCTCGGGATGTGACTGGCTCTATGATCAGAGAGTGCACCCCATTTTCACGAACAAGCATCTTGTGTGCACTGTCGGGGCGAATTGGCTTTCCGTCTAGTTGCCAGCTTAGATCTGGGGTTGGTAACCCACTGACCTAAACCAGAAAGGAAAGATGTGTAAATTTTTTTAATATTGAAACAGTGAAATTACTGAGAGCTAAGAGACCAGCATACATTCCTCCTTTGGTAGCAAAAGAAATGGATTTTAGAATTAGCTTGTGTTACTTTTTTGCTTAAAACTATTCCATGGTTTTCTAAACACTCACAGGCTTACTTCTAAAACATTTCTTACAGAATAACTTAGAGACAAATAAAATAGGGATTTAAAAAATTTCTGTCATTATCTTACCTCACCCAGGACTATAAAAATTCCTGGGATGATGTCAGCACCAGGCTCTGAGCTCTTTTGGAAAAAAGATGTCCAACCATAATAACAAGCACTCAGCTGGCATTTATATACTCTAAAGCTTCTCATCAAGGAGTGGCATTGCTATGGAGACATTAGTTAATGCATCCATCAGCACAGAGAGCTATTATTATTTAATAATCTTTGAAACTGAGTAACAAGAGCAATATGAAATTACCCAGAAAGCCATCTCAACAAATTAGCATCACAATGGAAATGTCATAAAATCTTGAGACCATGACGGTTGTGTTGACCAGAGATCAGATAAAAGCACATTTAATTGCTAATAACACGTTGTACTGTGAAGGGTAGGGATGGTTGCCATCTGCCAGCTTTTTACAGTGTTGTCCTTGATTTTGAATAGGAGAAAGGCACTGCTGAGGAGGGCCTTTTTACCTCCCCGATCTCCAACTTTACTAGTGGGAAATTATATACAAAGCACATCTGGTGCATAATACAACAATTTCTTTGAAGAACCAGCTTTGCCCAAATCAGTCTGATAACACACACTCCACTTCTGCTCTGTGATGATATTTATTCATTTATACTACCTACAAGATGCCTCCCAGAAATGAACCAAAAAGTCCAGAGAGTTGAAAGAAAAAAAATTAAGTGTACTCAATGGTGGATTAAAAGCATGAATAGACTTTGGAAACAAACAGCCGTAGTCAGGCAGCTTGGCTTCTGTGATGGTTAGGCTCTGCTGTCCCATCTGTCCACTTGCTATCCCCCAGCTCTCCACCTACACAGTTTTGCCCATCTGGAGGTCACTAGAAGTGATGCAGGGAGCGGACGTAGATACTTTAGGTCTGGCCCCAGGCCTTTCCCAAACTTAGAAATAGTGCTGATTCCCACTTCACTAGTTAGATCCTAGACGAGTAGGCCGTAGTGTGCTTGGTAGGAGAGGTGCCCAAAGCACTGTGTACTCTCCAGCCACCTAATTCACAGTGGACCTGTCCCAGTGGGCAGAGTTACTCATGTTCCTGCAAAGGGAAAGTCATATTCTTTTAACCCCAGTCCCCCTGGTAAGTAAGGAAAGAATGTGCAGTCCCGGGAACTGAAGGTCCTAGTGAGCAGTTCTGTTGGGGAGACAGAAGGGCACGCTTGTTCCTGGAGCAGTGGGAAGAGGTATTTCCCCAAGCCTCAGTGCTGGGTGAAGGGTACTCAGTATCTAGGAATGTTTGCCAGGAGTTGGGGTGGGGGGCTTTTGGGCAAAGAGCAAGCTATTGCTTTCATGTTTGGCTTATCAAGTCTTTTTTCCCTGTCAAAGCTTAAAACACACTGAAGACTTTATTTTTCTCTGAAGCAGGTAACACTCCATCTGTTCATGTGGCAAGATCGAACATTTTCTTCATCTATGTCAGACCATCATAGTGATTTCAAGTACAGACTACTTTTCCTCCCAATATTCTTTTAAAGGCAGAGGTTTTAAGGACATTTATGCTACTGAAATACTTAAATACATTTACTGAAAATCAACTTCTGTGCTCAATTTGTGAAATAAATTACTATGACTTCTTTTTAAAATAAGACCAAAAGTAGATACAACAGTATGGTCAATCTCTATACACCCATTATTTAGATTCACTCTCATCATTTTTTATATTATAAAATAAATTCCAGACTTTATATAATTTTATCCCTATCTACCTAATTATACATTTAAAGAAATATACATTTTATTACATAATTATGATTTCATTTTTATACATGAAATTAATAATTTCTTGGTATTATCTAATGACCTATCTATAATAAAATTTCTTTAGATGACTTGAAATGTAACTTTGTAGGTTAAAAACTATAATAATTCTTGGAAAATTTTTAGAAATTGAAAAAATTGTTATTTGTATTTATTGTGTTCAGTATGATTTGAAATATGTATACATTGCTGAATGGCTAACTTAAGATAATTAATGCATGTATTACCTCACATTCTTATCACTTTTTATGATAAGAACACTTAAAATTTGCTTTCTTAGCAACTTCCAAGTCTATAATATAGTGTTATTAACTATAGTCCCCATTGTACAACAGATCTCTTGAACTTACTCCTCCTAACTTAAGATTCTGTGTCCTTTGACCAAAGTCTCCCCAGTTCTCCTCCCCTCGGCAACACCATTCTACTCTCTGCTTTTATGAGTTTGACTTTTTTAGATTCTACATAACAGGGAGGTCATGTGGTGTTTATCTTTCAGTGCTTGGACTAGTTCACTTAACATAGTGTCCTCAGGGTTCATCCATGTTGTTACAAATTGCAAGATTTCCTTCCTTTTCCCCCACTTTGTACCTGGGATTGAACCCAGGGGTGCTTAACCACTGAGCCACATCCCCAGCCCTTTTTATCTTTTATTTTGAGACAGGGTCTCATTAAGTTGCCTAGGGCCTCGATGAGTTGCTGAGGCTGGCTTTGAACTTAGGATCCTCCTCCCTCAGCCTCTTGAGTTGCTGGGATTACAGGAAAGCACCACGGCACCTGGCAGATTTCCTTCTTTTTAAAGGCTGAATAGTTTTACATTGTGCATACATGTATTTTTTATTCATTCATCTGTTAATGGACACTGAGCTTCATTCCATATCTTGGCTATTACGAATAATGCTGCTATGAACATGGGAGTGCAGGTATCCTGACATTTTTTTCATTTTCTTTGGCTATATATGGAACAGTAGGACTGCTGGATCATATAGTTCTAATGTATGAATTTTTACAGACTATAAATAAAGTAAATATACATATGGATTTCAACCTGTGTATTTATACTGCAAAATGAATCATGTTGGACAATAGAATGTTTTTGACAATTAATTTTTCTTTCTATACATTCCTAGAAGCCCAGATTTACCTATTTTTGTTTCTTTCTTTTTGTGGTGCTGGTGATTGAACCCAGAACACATGCTAGGCAAGTGCTGTATTACCAAACTATATCCCCAATTCCAGACTGACTTTTTGAAAAAGCAGATAATGCCAAGATCCTCAAAGCAGTTATATTTATGTTCTGCAATCCCAGAGAGAACCAGCAGAGGGAACCCAAATTTTAAGAACCTTATCCATGTTTACTTTAAAATCATTTAAGTAGAGCAAAAACCAAATGAAAGTATTTTTCATGAGAGCAGTGGTTCTTAAACATTTTTGGCCTGAAATTCCTTTGAGAAACTGCTGAAAACTGTATCATACACAATTTTCTATATAGTTTCAGAACTCACATCTAATAAAGCCTGCTTACCCAAGGACCCTGGGTTAAGAAGCTCTGGTAAAACAGGTGAAAGACGAATGTCACTTTAACTTATCTAAGAATTTCTAGAAAATGGAAAGAATAAAAGTCAGAGTAGATAGATGGATATATTTCATGAAAAAAGAATGAAGATCCCCTATTGATTAGGGCATATGGCAGATTCATCACATTTATTACTTCAACAAAATGAAAAATTTAAAGGGATAAATAAAACCTTTCTTGGATAGGGTATGTAGGGTTCAGAGTAAAGAAAATATTTAAGACAAATTTAAAAGTAAGGAAAATCATGATGTGAAACAGCATAAAGATGCTGAGTATATTTTGCTAGATTTTCTTTTGATCTGGCATCATCTTCTATTTTACGTAATGTCCCAAAAAGAACTGTAGAGAAAATGGCATTGAGGAGAGAAATGAGGCAGTTATTTTGCAGCATAACAAACACTTACTTTACAATCCATTCTGCAGAGCTTTCCTTCTTGAACAGTTAGATCTCCAGGAGCCTGCAAGAAGTGAGGTCTGAAGAATCGCTCCTGAATTGGTTCATTTTCATCTCCACTGTCTCTTGATCTAGAGCGAGGCCTTGAAACAAGATGCATCAGGATAGATAGTAGTTATTTCCAAGCTTTTCGTCCTCAGTTTTCTTATAATACAATGGGGGTAATCTTATTATTTCCTCATCTGTTACCCATTCCCAAGATTTACGCATCAAAAAGTCAGAAAAGCAAAGTCTTGTTTAATTTGGAAGTCTGATAAATTTAATAATCTGCTAATTGCAGACTAATATGAATCACAAAAGGGAAATGAAAAATGAGCATTTTTTCCTAAATATTTTTTAAAAATTTACATTAGCAGTAAGAGCAGCTTTTTCTATTATCAGATTTTTTTTAATTGAATCTTTTTCAATAAAAATGACTATTAACTTCCCACCAATTTTAATTTTGTAGGAAATTAAAAGCTCTTTTAAAAAATTTAATATATTATCAAAATTCCTTTTCATATTAACTAAGAAAACAAATCTTCTGCATTAATTATCTATGTACCTAAAGGGATTATTTTTACTTTTTAAAAATAAAGTTGTGGGCCGAGGTTGTGGCTCAGTGATAGAGTGCTTGCCTAGCATGTGTGAGGCACTAGGTTCGATCCCTGGCACCACATAAAAAACAAAAAATAAAGGTACTGTGTCCATATACAACTAAAATTATATATATATATATATATATATATATATATATATATATATAAAACAAGGTTTTGCAAATCTCTCACATTTTTCACACCTCTGTGTAGTATATTGCCAGAGGAATACAGTTGTATTGCAGGAAAGACTTATGAAATGAGTAACATGTTGGATATAAATTTTGTCAAATTTAAAAACACTTCACTAGAAAAAAACAAAAAAAAATGAGTGGAACAAATAAAAGATTAGTATATTAGGCTGATAATCATTTTCTCCAAATACAGATCTGATAAAAATTCTTTGTAGGATCTATTGATATAAGGAAAAACTTTGATGTATTAAAGACCATAGGATCGACAGAAGAGAAAAATGCAAGACAATGAACCTGAAACGATGTTGTGTTTATAGCCTGAGATACAGGTCTAAGATCTAACAGATTTTGCTGCACTAGTTTGGAATTAAATTTGCACATGCCCAGGTACTTGTCATCCAAATGTCACCCAAATGTTGATCAAAAGACTGTGGCTTCAGTCACATTAGGTGGTATAGACACATCTCTTGCTTGATGCTTACTCAGTTTTCCTGCCTTTCCTCTGTGAGTCTAACTATGTTTCTCTTTTTGTGGTGCATCTATGGCTTGTATCTTACCATCAGGACTATTTCAGGAAGTTCTGTCTGTAAAATATCTGGATAGAAACCTAGGTTAACAGGCTGATTGATTTACCATATTGTTTTAGGGCAAATACATTACAAGAAATAACATCCTTTCTCTCTCCCTGACTGCCAGCATTCTGTCAGTGTCCTTTCATAGACTCAGGGCTACTAGGAATGGAAAGCAGACTCAATTGTTAGCAGATATTTGAGTATCTATAATATGATAAATCTTACCTACACAATTTATCGTCTAATATATTTTGAACTAAGGAATTTAAAAATGTACATTAACAACCTAGCTGATTTTAAGAAATCCAGTGGCAACAGCTTATAATGGTAAGTCTTCACAGCTGTTGGTTAGAGAAGTTTGCTTTGGAACATTTGTGTTCCATTTACTAGTATTTTTGTGTTCGTGTGCCATCTAACCGTGCCAAGTCTTGATTTCTTCATATATAAAACACGCCATACTTAGACTAACAATGGTATATCTGAATAGACTCAGCACATATTAGCAAATGTTTTTTTCCTTCCCCTTTTGGAACTGCAAAGGGGCATCATAATCAAGGATCATACACTTGAATTATGCATCCATGTTCTGTCTTCTAATTCCATTCACTTTTGTTGTCATACTGTGATTCCAGCAGTCCTAAATGTATAGTAATAAGTACACAGTAACACCTACAGGAAGGAACATCTGAAATACCTTCTGACATGAGGATGGCCTGAGGGAGAGCGGGGACTGCGACCTCTTTGGTTGACAGCCTGTACCATCAGCCGTCCAGTACAACTGACGCGGCCCTGTCAGGGACATCAGGAAAAGAGGTTATTCGCTGTGCAAATTGTTAACCATTAAGCACTCTCATGTCTGGTGTTCCATTCTCATAACAACTCAGTGTTCCATTAGCAATAAAACCCACCCCTCTCAGAAAAGCACTTTCCCTGAGTTAAGCTCCTTAATAAAACTAAGAACTCGGGTGACAAGGTCCTTCTCTGAATGTTAAATGTGCTTTACTGGTTTATCCACGATGATACTTGAAATGCTACCTCTCAATGAACCGTAATCTGTTAGGGTTTCCCTAATACATGAAGTCAAATTGAAAAAATATAGCAGAGTGTTATTTTCTTGTCATGATTCAGTTTTCATAGGCAAATATCTACTGGTTGTGGCCAAATTCTGAAATCAAAACTAGATTTTTAGTTTTCTGTCACATCTTTTTAGTAATATGTATATTAAATGTTAGTGGTATCCCCTCCCCAAACAGTTTGTTTGGGGGATATCTGCATAAGAAAATGAGCATTATGTAAGATATATACTCAGAGAATAACAAGGAAAATATATGAAATTACACCATGTCCTCAGGAAATGAGACTTAAAAACCAGAAATAGTTGATTATCTAAAGTATGTGAGTCACTTGATAAGGGCCTAGCTAATGAAAATTTATAATATATTTTTAATTTGCCAATTGAAAATTTGGTAATTGTTGTTCTGTGGATAGACTAACATAATGCTTAAGGGACCTGATGACATGGATAAACCACTAGTAACTTTGGCTTTTTGTTTCAATTCTTCTCCCCACTTCCAGCCATTACTAGCACAATAGCATGATGCCTGATTTTTTTCCTCCACTTTCTTCTCCACTCTTCCAGAATAATGGCCAAATGTACTTCTGAATTCAGATTCTGGCCAAAGGTAAAAGCAAGAGAGGAAAATGGGAAGCAGGTATATTATTGATGAATAGACTTTGTGAATTCTAGCTCAGGATTGATGAGCAGCCCTTATGTGTATTTACATTCAAAATAAAATTCTACCAGTGACTTCTAATTTTGTTGCAAGTTACCAATAAATGCAGGTAATAGAAGCAGGACTGTTCTGTGTGTTTTGAAGAGTTGTTTTCCAACAAAGTGGGCTAGGGTAGGAGAGGGTGGGTACTAGTATAGGGAACATGATATGACATATAAAAAATCTCACAGGATTTCTAATGGTGGTGGGCATTGTACCCGAGGGGTGCTCTACCACTGAGCTAAGTCACCCCTTTTTAAAAAAAAATTTAAATTTTGAGACAGGGCTTCACTAAGTGAAGCTTGTGATCCTCCTGCCACAGCTTCTGGAGTAGCTGTGTGTTCACCTATAGAAGAATTTAGTGAAGGGCAGAGATCTGGGCAGTAGGGCTCTTCAGGTCTCCCAAAGCCTGGACTTCTTTAGGGCTCTAACCACTGGGAAAGGGGAACAACACATAGGGGTGTAATACAGATCAGAGGAATTCAGAATGGCCAAATAGAAAGAGGTGGTACCAGAGAAACAAATTTAATCTTACCTCCTTTCCATTTTTTTTAAAACTTGTTTTAACCAATCTCTCCCCTATCCCTTATCCCAGCATGAGCCTCAGACACCTTTGTATGGTATTCCTTAGCTCTGGAATCATATTTTCTGGGTTTGTAAGTCAATTCTGTTCCTTTAGGAACTGACAATCTAACATCTCTAGCTAGATTTATTCAACTGTTAAAACAATATAGTTAATACCTGGGTACTTGGCAATGATTACATGAGTTAAAATATACAAAGTGCTTCGTATTTCATTTTTGCATATAGAAAATGCTCAAAATGTTAAAATACTGTAGTACTAAATGTGGACATATATTATAATATCAGATGAATATGAGGCATAGTAGAAGTGTTTTAACACAGTTTTTGCATATGTAAATTATTCTATTAGAATGTAATTTACTCTAAAGAGAAAACAAAATGTTTTTAGCAGGGGAGGCTGAATATACGGCAAGTAGGCCAACCTTTAACTTCTGTGGTGCTTTCATGGTGCCAAGCACAGTTGTATTCAGTGGGCCTGCTTATATGATGGCTGCATTATATGAGATGTAGGATGAAAGGTGTTGACTAAGCTTAGGGCAAATCCTGCCCTCTCCTCCCCTTTCTAGAAAAACAGGGCATCCAGGTTGATACTGCTCTGGAGAAATTACGCAGTTCTACACTGTTTTCTGGGTTCTTGCTGCTATTCCTTGTAACCAGACACACAAACTTTGTCATGGAATATTTCCTCCCAAATTTACGAAAACATTTTATGTTACCATTTGTGGTCTTTGTACTCCGACACTTTCTACAACTTTGACTTCTGAACATAAGGAGGAGGAGATGGTCTTCAGGAAGCAGATTTTTAATTTGATTAGTGTACTGTTATTGGTTAAATATACTACTAACCAATACGTGATCAGGAGCATTTAAAAAGCATCCAAATTAAGAAGTTATATAATTTTGAAAATTTTATTTGAAAAAAAAATCTGGAATTCAGGGAAGCAGTCTTGAAGATGTCTGAACACCTTATTTAGGAGAATGCTCATATAGAAGTAGTGTTAATGATTTTAATCATATTAATATACCAATTAATCTTAGCAATCAAATTATGATTTTCAAATTAGAAGGCTCTGATGTACATTTTTGCTATGGTACTTTTAACATTTTAATTTTTTTCTGCTTTATTAATCTGTGAAGTAATAATGAAAGTGGATGTTTAGAGAGAAGATTGAAATGAGCCAGGAAACCTTACAATGCTAAAACAAAACAATCATTTTTAATATTTAATTCAGATTTGTGTCACTTTTCTGAACAAAGACAAAGTTTAAAGCCATAGTACAAACAAGGAGTTTGAATTGTTAAAGTGATTCTGTATTAAACATCCAGCTTGAAAGATTATTTGCACCATGCAAAGTCAGTTATTTATGTGATATGAAAATAACATTTATATTTCATAGTTTATGAATTTAACTTGTGGCACAGAGTCTTTATAAAGGCTTGCCACTTGTATACATAATGCAATTTGAGGGAACATCAAACTGTAAAGCAGCCATTCCAAAATCCAAGTGCAGTACAAAGTAACTTAGCAACACAACAAAACAAAGTAAAACATTTGTGTTTAGATTTAGTTGTGTCTTAAAGATAGGATTAGGGTCTAAAATAAACTGCTTCATGAGCCTCATTTTGGCATCGTGTTTAGTGTAACTGCACAATTGCTCATTATTTTGCTAAACCATGTGATTGCTCTGGTCTCTAATGAATTCCTCTGAGCTGCACACATTGCATATGATACAAAGTCACAGAGTAGGTGGAGAGCTGTGTGTTCCATCCCAAGCAGAATTTGGATGCAGTCGTCAATATCTAACATGTTTCTCATTCCCAAAAGATTAACCCAGGTGGAAAAATATCATATTCTATAAAATAATCTGCTGAACTTTAGTGTTTTCCTCTTTCCTTGGTTCTCGCCCTTCTCTTGGCTGCTTTCTTGTAATTATTTTCCACTGCTCTGAAAAGTTCTGCCTTCTGTGTTTCATTACTGAACTAATTTTTCCACTTCAGCCTTTTCCTCTTTCCCTTGGTTATTTCACATCATGTAGCCTACAGTGTATTAGGAAAAAATAGATGTAATTGCCTGCCTTTCATATCCAAATATTTTTAAAATTTGAAAAAAAAAATCAAGGTAACTGAAAATTCAAGGGCATCTGGGAAGTAGACACTCAACTTCAGTTTTCTGTCAACTACACTTCATATCCTGAGAGATTCAGTTTTTACTTTTGAGTTTTTTCCAGTGGCTACTTAAGATATTTTTTAAAAAATCATATTTTAATTCACAAATGACAAGAATAATAAAATCCTTCAGTGTATAATAACAGATGTTATAAGGATAAAATTATGAGAGTTAAACAGGTCTATATTGGCATTCCTACAGCCACAAATGATAATTTATGCCAAGGGTTAGTTAGAAAAATGGGCTGCCACTCATCTTGGTCTAAATACCACTTTGTTGTTTTAATAAGTAGTAACATTCATTCCAGTATCTAGAAGATGACTCACAAGATAGACATCTGGCATATTTGGGTATTCCTGCCTCTGAAGACCCCAGGAGAAAAAAGGAGTTTTACTCTTGGAATTAAAATCAACCAGACAACATGATTAGAGACTTGAAATAACAACTACTGCCAAGTAGCATAACTACCAGAATTCCCTTACAGTGATTTCAATGGGATACACACAACTACATGTTCTGGCCCAGGCTTAAATGTCCACTTTTAGGATTTCCTTAGGTTCTTTTCATGAGTTTTCCCTCCTTTGTCTGTCTTTGGTGATTTAGATAGAAAAGGAGACTCGCCGGCCTCATCTCTTGATGATGACACTGAGTGTATTTAAAGACCTTTGGAATTCTAGGCATTAGGGACAGGGGCTGACTGCTATGGCCCCTGGGTGTCTTTTGCCCCTCAGGTAGACCCCAAACACTCATATCACCTTTTGCTTAAATCACAGATGGGGCGGGAGGGCTCTTCTGTCAGGAGGGCTGGGCTTTTGGCTACCTGATGTAGAGTGGTCCACTTCTATCGTTGCCTTCTCTCCAAAGGGTGGAGGGCGAGGCCTGAGGGGGTTGACTGTGGGGCTTAGCCTGGGATTTGGTAAAGCAGAATTACCGGGGCCTCATGTGAGGCCAGTGGCTCCTCTCTAGGGGGTGTTCTCTTGGCCCTCGAGGGGGCGCTGGGAGCAGAGCAGCTTCCCAGGTCCCTGTGTGGCCGGTGTCAGCTGTGCCTGGGTGGGGCCCATTCTCTAGTTCAGTTTCCTCCACCCAAGCCCACAGCTGTGGCAGTTGTGGCACAGCCACATCTGCTGCCTAACTCCCTTCCCATGGGAGTGATAAAAGGGAAAAGCCAGGAGGTCAGAAGACCACACACCAGCAGCATGTTGGGTGGAAATTCCATCCCAATGGACTGCTTACTCTAAAAGAACTGTGGAGCAGAATACCTAGAAACAACTGATCTTTTCCATCCGGGTTCCACAGGCTTCTGCCAAGTCTTAGGATTGCTGTTTTTAAGATGGGAATTAGTGTTTGTGAATTAGAATAATTCACAAACATAATATTGAAAGCATATTATGTTCCAGGTAAGCTGAGTGCTTTTTACATGTACTATATGGGTCCATATTGTTATTCTGATATTTTAGAAGAGGAAACAGGCATAAAGAGGTGAAGTGACTTGATAAAGTCACATAGGTAATAAGTGACAGAGTTAGAACTCTCTGATCTGCTGATGCCAGAGCTCACGCTCTTCACCCCTATACTCTGCTCTCCGCGTCATTTCTTTGATTTCCTTCCCTTTCTCCTTTTCCCCTGTTTTACAAAGGGGATCTTTTTGGAGGGTCTGGGGCTCTAACACAGGGCTTTGGGTAAAATTACCTTCATTTTTTAAGATTGGTTTTTATTTTAATTAAGACATAATTGAACATATTTATGAGTACAATGTAATGTTATGATATAGGTGTGCAATGTGGAATGGTACAAGGGGAATCTTCAGTAGCTCTCAATAGTGACTCTATCATGTTTGTCGAGAGTGTAAACGATCAGACACTATTGACCCTTGAGGCTGGCCTGATGTCTTAAATTCTGCATGCTGCCATTGGCCGTGAGCACTGCACCTTTCCTGGATTAGAACTTTTCCATATGTACAAATACATTAGTATAATTTGAAGAAGAGCAGAAGCAGACCCACAATTGCAGTTTTACATTTATGTTCTTTTGTTCTATAAAATGGCTTACTCCAACAACAATTTAAAATATGCTAGGAAAAATGCCTTGAAATTAAAAGCAGGAACCCAGTTCTGCCAAGTACTTAAGAAACACACATAATTCTATCCCCAGAATAAATCCCAGTCGTTCTAGAGAATAAGAATAATAAAGGATCCAATGAAGAATTCTGGATTTTGTTGAGTTCTCTACCATTTTTCTTTTAAACAGGCAGAAAACTGAAGGATGAAGTCTGTTGATAGTCAAGGAAACACATAGAAAATATAATAAGACAAAAAAGCAGCCTCTCCTTTTGCTCTCTCTTACAATTATGCAAATGTGAATATACTCATTAAAATGCAACTTCTTAATAGAGACTATGCTTTTGACTTTTTCAGGGTGATGGTCATGTATTTATGGACAAAATTAGAACCTCAAGAAGGTGCATTAACGTAGAAACTTTTCAATGACAGTGAAGAGTCTGCTGTGCTGTCAAACCTGATTAGTTGGATAATTTGAGTATCATTCTAATCTTAATATTATTACAGAAAATATCTTTATATGACAATGGAATATTGGAATAGGATACCTTGTACAAATGTCTAAAAGCCTGTAAGCCTTGTTTAAATCCTACATTTTCTAATCTTTGAAAGACATAACAAAATATGGAACAACATAAATAAATCAGAGACTTTAAAAAGAACTTCTGAACAGTCATCATTAGTTATACATAAAATTGTTAATTTTAGCTTCCTTAAAAAAAAAGCCTATGACTTATACAACTTCAGTGAATTCAGTAAAATTACCCTGTTACACATTGAGTCTTAAGGTACGAAATCACTCACTCAATTTTGTGTCCCCTGTAGTTAGCATAATGCCTAAAATATATAAGATGCTCAAGAAAAAATTTGTGGGCTTGAATTGGAAACATGATGATATCCAACAACCCTTCATTAAATTCTAAGAAGGCAATTTTTTTGGCCCTAAATCTAAGGGCAAACACAAGACAAAAAAATTTGATACAAATATGTTATATATAGGCATTCAGAGATTCCAATGCCTGATGAGGACAGCACTCTATTACTTTAATCCTGGGCCAAGAAGTTCATTGATGTTTGTGTGTACTTCTTTAAAAAATTTTTTTTTTTGCATTCTGTTACTAAAATTTGTACACACTACTCTATATCCTTTCTTCCTCCTTTATTTTCTTTATAGAACTTAATCCTACTAGAAGTCATATTAGATTATTTTCTACTGCAGGACTATCCTGTCCACCATTATGACCCCATAGCCTCCATAAGAGGTGTATACACAGGAAGCCTTAATATTTATGGAAGGAATGCATATCTGCACCAGAATCATTGCTAGAGAAGAACACCTGATGGAATAAATAAATATGGAACAAGGAAATTTTCTGGCCTCTGAAACCAAGATGGCTATTGGATTTGGGAAAACAGTTTCTTAAGTCAAAGAAGTACAACTTCATCTTTCAATCAAACAGTTCCTCTGTCCAATCAAATGCCTGTAAGTGCTGTTAAGCAAAGAGCCCAAACCTACACCCCTTTTTACCTGAGGGTTGGCAGCCATAATTGTAAAATTTCCATCATCGTCTAAGGTGGAGGCTGAGGTGTGGAGAGAGCAGGTCCCATCAAGATCTCTTTGAATGGTGTAGTGATCACTCTTTGGAGAGATCTGTTTCCCATCTTTAAACCAATAGATCTGTTCAAGTAAACAAAGATGAAGAATGTGCTCTTACTGTGTTTAGAGGACTGATAACAGTGTGGTCTAAAGGACTGATCTGATTTTTCATTTTTCATGACATTATAGGCATTTTTTTGCTTTTTTTTCCAAATGTAAAATGTATTTTACATTTACATATTTCTTTTTTTTCCATAAGTAAAATGTATTACTTGTAAGTCAAAGGTAAAATAGCTTGTTCTGAAGGACAGTCACAGACCCCACACTCTAATCATGCCACTGAGTTGTGTTAAATAAGTAAAAGAGTGGCAGGAAAGCAGATTAGAGGGAAGGGAACGGGGGTGGGGGGTGGGGAGAGGAAGTACTAGGGACTGAAATACAGCAAATTATATTCCATGCTTTTATGATTGTGTCAAAATGAATTCTGATGTCATGTATAATTAATATAAACCCATAAAAAATGGAGAAAAAAGAATGACGGGTAGGGAGGCAGCAGTTCAGCATTGGAGATGGTGAGAACTCTTATTGCTTTATTCTGGGCCAAGAAGAATATGATCAAAAGTTGAATGCTTGTCAACTCTCCCAAAGGTATTAAAGAAACACAGTATCACTGAAAAGTACAATAATTTTCAGTTATATATCTTGGTTTGATAGGAAATTAAGTGTGAAAAAAAATTTTTTAAATTTTAAGTAGCTCAACTGTCTCTTCTATAGACAACCCCCCTTTCCTCATGTTTTAATAAAAGTGGTCCAAAATTGTCTGATAATTTGTTATTTTTAATTTAGCTTATGAACTGCACAGTTGCAAGATCATAATGAATGATAGTAAAGCAGCCCTAACATGACTGAGATGTCAGCCCACCCCAGACTTCACGTTATAATAATGTCATCATAATACATTGTAAAAATAATCTAATAAAATAGATCCTCCCCCTTATTAAACTGCAATAAATCCTTTTTTTTGTCCTTTGCAACCAAAAGCATTCCTAATTGATTCCCAACAGAAGAAAACCTACTTTAGACTATTTAGTTTTAAAAATAAACAACTTCCTTATTGTAAATCAAATGTAAATTGAGAAAATAAACTGCCATACAAATTCTACTCTGTCAAACTATTTGAATCTGAAAAATCTTTTTGAAATTTCTATTTTTAACAGAGGAAAAGTATATATATATAAAACTAAATAAATGCTTGAATTATTAGAATCTGTTACAGGTTTTCTAACCCCTATTTTTTAGTTCCAAATTTCCAGAAATTATCTTACTTATTAATCTCCAGAACTAAAATCTGACTAATAACTTTCAGTTCTAAAAATTAAATTATGTAAAGCATCATCTTTCCTAATTATCATACAATTTTAGTGGTTGGATTACTTATTGTGAAGTAAAGAAGTGTAATTAGTACACTCTTTCTTCCTTTTGCATTCTTGTCACAAGGCCAGTTCTTTTTGAGTTCTTTCCTTTAATCATTTTCACCTCCATTATAATTGTAATACAACTTTCAAATGAAATCAATAAATAGTTCCAAACCTTTGCCGAGATTGCTAATGGAAGAGGTAGAGAGTACAAGGAAGGGATACTTTTTTTTGTAAAAACATAAGCCAAAACAAAGGAATCTTTACACACAATGAGTATTCCATATATTAACAGCCCTAGTATGATTTATATGGTATGGCAGAGATGGTACTTTAATAATCCAGGGAGGAGAAGAGGAGGAATGAGGAAAGGAAGGAGGAAGGGAAGGGTCACAGGGGGAGAAGGAAGTATAAAAGAAGAAAATTTGACAAAGTTCTAAACCAGTGTCTTTGAACATCTGTAACATTTAAATTTGCACTAGTATAAAAACTGTTATAATGTTAAAAACAAAGTTCACTGTTTCAAGTGAGTAAAGTTTTCTATAAGAGTAGGAATCCATGGGGCTGGGGCTCAGCGGTAGAGCGCTCGCCTACCACATGCCAGGTGCTGGGTTCCATCCTCAGCACCACATAAAAATAAATAAATAAAATAAAGGTATTGTGTCCAACTACAACTAAACAAATATTTTAAAAAATAATAGGAATCAATGATTTTAAAACTTGATTAATGTCCTTGGGTAAGGTTTGAAAATAATCTGGGATCTTTTTTGCAAATACTTTGGAAGTTCAAGATATAACGTCTTAGTGGATTTCCTTCAAAAGCTGAAAATTTACTTTCAATACATGCATTTGATATCATGCTGTGAACACACAGCTGTTACCCAAATTATGACAAGAATGTGGCAAAGAAATTTCCTGTAACAATAGAGTTTATTTTAAAAGTTCCATTTTATTAGAGAGTAGATATGGGTTTGAAAATTTGAGGCCATTTTCTTTGATCTATTTTTCTTGGCTTTGTTGTTAGAATTCAGTTTTAAGGAAAGATAGTGATGGTAAAATTAAGTTGAATGTGAGAACAAAAAATGCACAAAGCTGCGGAGAATTAACACCTGCCAGTATCAGGTGTTGCGTCACTTGCCCTTCTTCCATTTTGTTGATTCTCATTTCAGCTCTTGTACTCTGCTGTTAACCTTTTTTTTTTAATATTTATTTTTTAATTGCAGTTGGACACAATATCTTTATTTTATTTATTTTTAAGTGGTGCTCAGGATCGAACCCAGGACTGTGCATATGCTGGGCGAGTGCTCTACTGCTGAGCCACAACCTCAGCCTCCACTTTTAAACTTTTAATACCAGAGAGTAAATTTCTCATTTCTATATACTTGACAAATTTGCATTTTTCATATTGTCCTGTTCTCTCATTGGAGTTTCTATTCCTTTTTAAATTATTTTAGTCATTTTAAATTCAGGTTTTTATTAGAGCTCCTTTAAAGGGTTTAATATGTACAATTCTTAGGCTTCTAGTTTTTTCCTTGTGTTGTTGACTCTCATGGTTGTTGATTTCTTCATATGGTTTGTAAGTCTTGACTGTGAAGCTGTTTAGTACACTTCCTCCCTTCTATCCTGCAAAAGTCTGATGGCTTAAGCCGTGAAAAGTGTCCTACAGAGAAACAGTCTGCATGCTTATGAAAGAAAACTAAGTTAATCATCCAGAACTAACTTTCACATCCATATACTGCCTTTGATGGGGTTTCAGTTTCTCACCTTTTCTATTCTTTTTGCTTAAGTTAGCAAAGTATGCTCCTGTTTATTGCTTTGCTGGGCTAGTGAACAGTTATTCTAGACCTCCTTTTATTGGCAGAACAGCTCCTTAACCAGCATTTCCTTGTGTTGTAGGGAGAGGCCTCCCACCCAGGTCAGCCTAATCCTGCATTATCAGAAGTTTTGATCATCCTTTCTAAACAGTACTCCTCACCCCACCTCCATTTGTAAACATAGGAGTCCTTGGTTTTATTGATTAGAGATTTGAAGTTTTTATCACCCGTGGTGAACACTACTTCTCTGTACAGTGTACCTCCGTGGGTTCATGTCTAAGTCTGGCTGCTTACCAGCTCTTTGACCTTGGGAAAGTTAATCTCATAAAGTCCTCTTTAGTCATTTGCAATTTGAGAGTAATAATGAGGAGAAAATGATGTAGGTGTATGAATAGCTCCTTGTTAATTATTCAGTTGTTCTCATTAGCCACTCCTATCCTATTCTGTCCTGTCCTGTCCCAGATTTACTCTTCAAACCTCCAACTCCATTCCCCCATCCTCCACTCTTTGGTTTCTAATGTGTCCTGAAGATGATTCTCAACTTAGAGTACTTAAAACATCTCATATTGAGAAAGCTAGACTGTGTCTCTTCTTCCTATTGTGTCTGCTATATTTTAGAAGCCAAACTCTTCCTCAGAAAATGTGACTCCTGTAATTTGGTTATGTCCCAGGAATTCATTACTGGAAACTTGGTCTCAGTGCAGTGGAGTTGAAAGATGAGACCTTTGTCAGGGGTGATTGGGTTATGAAGGCACTGCCCTCATTAATGGATTGGTCCATTCATGGATTTTAATGGTTAATGGGTCATTTTAGGACTATTTTTGTTATAAAAGCAATCTCTTTCTAGCACACTAACTCTATCTTGCCATCTGATATCCTTTTGCTTTTTGCAATGAATTGAAAGAGGATGAAGTCCTTGCTATCACCATGTTTTAGACCTCCTAGTCTCCAGAACCACGAGCCAAAATGGTAAAGTTCTATGGTAAAAATAGACTAGGTTTTACTAGGTTTTGACTAATCTGAGTAGGTTTTTTTCTTCTTTATATATTACTCAGTCCTTAGGCATTTTGTTATTGTAGCGTGAACTGAGACAACTCTTAGGAAGTCATATTTTTAGCTTACCTTAGGCTTTGGATTTCCAGCCACTCTACATGTGAAAGTCACAGGCATTCCCTCAAAGATCTTATAATGTTTCAGCTTCATCTCGAAGAACGGTGCCATTCCATTTTCCACAGGTACATCCCCATACTGAATGTCATCACCTGATTCATCCACAGGAGACCTTTCTAGCCTGTACTCGATTTCACTTATGAGTCTCTGTTCACAGCTGGAGACTTTGTATTCCTGTGTCAAACAAAGAAAGTTCAAGTTAGCAACCTCAAGCTGTCACAGAACAATGTGTCTCATGAGTCTTATCACCCTCTCCAATAAGGCACTAAGATGACAGAGGCATTTTTACCAAAGAGCTTAAAAACATAATCTGAACCCAATTCAATTCCATAGAAAACAAAACCCATTTGGAAGTGAAAATTTGTGATATTTCAAATTGTCTTCAAGTCCTATCATTGAGAAAAACAAAACAAAACAAAACAAAAAACAGGGATGAAGTGGAGAAGAAAAGAAAAAACTGAAGGCTCTGTATTCCCTATCTGTTCATAAAAATAACACATAAAGGAACACTGATCTCCTTCTGTAGGGTAAATGCTGCTGCAGGGTGGTGTACCTCTCCAGAAGGCTCAGAGTACATGTGAAAGCAGCTGCAGTGTGCACAGAATTTTATCAAATGAATAATGGAAGAAATAGAACCATGATTTTTTTTTTACCCATAACAACCCCATCTCATAGGGGGCCCCCTTAGCTCTACAGCTATTAGGAACTCATCTCTTTAACAGAAAAACAGGGCTAACACTCCAGTCAAAATTTTGGTTAAAAACACAAAGCAAAACCAAGAACCCCAATATCCTGTGGTGTTTAAGGTGGATCCTACAGTTCTTGCCTGTAAAGTACAATGCGGACAAGGCAGCCCATTATAAATATTCCCTATTTCATATTAAATAGGGAGTAATTGTAACTAGGTTTTCTCTTAAAGAAGTTCTGCCATCTTTAGAAAATAGTTTGCTGGTTTGAGGGAAGAAATATAGTATTGTGAATAACACTGTGAGCAATACACCACATGCTGTTTTGTCTAATTACTCTGGAATTAATCACTTTCCGAATAAGTAACCCCCCAAAGGTGTATAACAAGTGGAAATGTTTTCATGATTCAAAGTTTAGAGCTTCCACTAATGTTAGGATTAAATTTGTTGGTAAATAAATGTCAAGAAAAATCATGCTATAGTTATTCTGTTTATCTGATATTAAATGGAAATTTATTTGAATCATAGCACTTATAGTTAACATATGAAAATAAAGACAGACACACAGGTTAAAAATGAAGAAAATAGTCACAGTGAAAGATTGCAAAGAGAAGAAAGGAGAAAAGTTTAACCTTTTGACCATCCACAGAACTCCCTACAGAGGCATGAGGAGACCCAACATCCTGTAATGGTAGAAAAAACAAGATGATAGAAATAGTAAGATGTAGCAGGATTTCTAGTTTTCTTTAAATGAAACTTTCAGGGTGGCAATACTTAACATAGAGAAACCAAAGGCACATTTTTTAATAGGAGAGTGTACTTGACACTTTAAATTGTTTTATAAGCCCCCCCCCTTTTAACTTGAAACTATATCTGGAAACTCTGTGGAGAGGCAATAGAGATTATACAGCTGCTTACAACAGCTCCATGAATTTTCTTCCTTTCTTTCTTTTGGAGATAGCAGGGGAATAAAAATAGAATTTTAGGTCTTTTGCTGGTTTATGCTTTAAATGCAAATGAAGATAAAGGCAGTCTTTTCTGAACATTGGTATTTGGCTAGATATTAAGAGTATAGTGGGAAATACTAGCTTATTTCAAACAGTGCCAGTGAAAAGGTGTTTCTCCATACCAAACTATTTTGGATTAGAGCAAAAGACAGAAAAATCAGGATACTCAAAAGGAAAATAAAGAGATAAATAAGAAGATAAAAAGAACAAGAATTACTGATGGAAATAGTTCTAATCACTTAACACAGTGTCTGGCACACAGTATTTGTTCAATCCATATTATTGTGAGGTTGCTTGATGATATAGATACTGCTTGTCTGTGGCTTGTCCTCTATTTTTCACAACGTGAATCCCAAGAATAGTGTCAGAAGGGACCGAATAATTGTCATCTATCCAGGAAGTCTAGAGCAACACAGTACCTGATTAGTCATTTCTTCTTCTGGCTCCTGAATATTAAAGACAGTCGCACTCTCGGCACCTAGTAGTCGACGGGCCATTCTTTCTTCATAAGTTAATCTCTAAATAAAGCAAGTCACAAAAAAATTTATGATTAGAAAAAACTCACAATTATATACTGCCTTATGAAGAAGAGTTAAAAAATAAAATGAGTTTTGACATTTTCTGTAACTATTCTCTCTCCAGCTCCAGACAGCTGCATGTCAAAGGGGTCTGTTTCTTGTGCTTCAGTTCTGCCCTTCACCTCCTCTTATAGTTCTTCTGGCCTAATTTACTGTTGGGAGATGAGACAACTAATCTTGGATGCCACCAATTGATACAGTGTAGATTTAAAGTAAATGGTAAGCCGCAAGGCAGAGACCATAGAAAAGATGTGTTATTCTCATCCTTCCTGAAAAACAGAGAGAAAAGAAAAGAAGATCTTCAAACAGCAAATTTTAAAGGCAATGCTCTTTTCAGAGTCATTCACAGGCTCTAGGACAACCAAGTAAGCTCCAAGACCAACTGACATGGAAAACGGAAAGCCACCCAAAAGGAGAACAAACTCATCAGTAAGAAGATAGAACAGGTATCACTGACAGAAGTAATTCTGCACACAGTATATACTCAATAAATATTAGCAAATGAAAGTTTTCAACCAGCTGACAGTGGTAGTCCTTCTGCTTTGGGGCCAGGTCTCCCTGCTAGGAGCACTTTCTAGGCTGCTGTGTAGTGTATGTGATTAGGGGCCAATACGATAATCCACAAAGGACGACTGAATGTGGCTAGATTAGCAAGAGGACCATTAAAGCTATTTGCCAAAACTAACATCCATAATTCATGATTACTCAGAAGCAAACTGCCTGCCCATCAGGAAGAAAATGGTAGTGTTTTTGCACCTAGCAATCAGTACTTTGGAGTCTGCCAAAACCATTTGCTAGGCCCTTCTTATAAGAGATGCCAACATTTTTGTTCTGTCAGTGGGATGATTGATTTTTTTTTTCTCTCTTTTCTTTCTAGCTGGGGACAGAGCCCAGGGCCACAGACATGCCAGGCAAGCACTGTACCCCTAAGCTACACTCTCAGCCCTGGCTGGGGTGATTCTTGTGCTTCAGTTGATTCTAAAATGCCTTAGAATTATGGATGTGGGAGGAAATTTCAGAGTTCACCTGCCCCATAAGGGACATTTTGCAAATGGGGGGTTTTATTAGAAACACGGAATAAGGCAGAATCTAAAAAAAAAAAAAAAGAAAAAGTTATTTCAGACAAACTTCTGCATGTAGATGAAAATTTTGTTGAAAGTTCTCTAATTAGGAAAATATGTTGGGAAATTTACAATTCCAGTAATTGCTGGTTCTAGTCCCAGCTGAAACTGGGAAGTGAAAGAGATCAAGTGCCAAGCAGCCCTAAAGGCCAGAGTATTTCATTTAGTAAAGAAAGGGCAGGGGACAAAAAGAGGTAGAGGTACACGTTTGAGTGGCACATGAAGTGATTCAGCCCAGTACATTATTATGTAAATTAATTCTCTCAAAACAATTTTAAAAAATCAGTGAATTCAGTTTTCAAACAGTTTGAAGTACTTGCTGTCTTAAAGCCTTCCTGTGTTCTCATGGAGAACTGTATCAACATCGGTGGGGGATTGGAGTGATCTCCACCTTGTTTCTCAGAGGCAGAAGTATCAATTTGATATCTGTTCCAATACCAGAATGCACCTGCTACCACTGGAAGCCAAATTTACTTCAAAGTTTTGTTTTTAAATCACTATGTCATATGGAAACACAAGCCCATGTGTACAAAAGCCAAAAATAAGTAACAGAATATCTAACATTAGGAAAAGTGGTTCAAGAATTCCATTTTCTTAAAAGGGAAACCTTACTTTTCTTGTTCTTTTAGGCTCTCAAATGTGGATGTCTATGGAACTCATTATGAATGCCATTCGCTGCTAAACAGATAAATATATGTTTATACATAAAAGTGATATATAAAAATATGTAACAGATAAGTAAAAATATAGATATGCATGACACTATTAAATAGTAGCTTACAGAAGTCTTATTTTGAACTAAGAAATCTAAGTCTATAAAGAATATTTAAATAATCTAAAAGAAGAAGTGGAGGAGGGGAGCTGGAGAGATGCCTTTACCTGGCTTGAAAAAGTTCCCATACATATTTTAAAAAAATCTTTCAAAGACTACTTGACAGAGCCAGGGAACACTTCCAGAGCATGTAATCACTTATTTTAGGGAGAAAATATTTTCTTTTGGTGAAGATCTTCTATACCCAATGAAATGAGTAACTAACAAAAAACTTACTAGAATTTTAATCTTCCTTAATCAGATTAAGATGCTCCAATAATTAAAGTCAGCATTCAACCCTCCTCCTCTATTGGCCACATCTCCCACAGTCTATTTTTACATTTTTATCTATCAATGCTTAAGAATTAAAATTTTCAGAAAACTTAATTCCCATAGAGAGCTTTCCACTCTGAAAAATGTGTCTGGGAGGGAGATTTTTCTATGAAGAAGCCCGTTTCTTCTATCCAACAGCCAAGTAAATTTGCTGGTAATGTTCCAGAAAAAAGCTACGAAAGACTCCTCTGCTCTACCTGGGAAATCTGTTGCTAGATTGACTTTACCCATCCACTGATGATGATATTTTGATGTGATAATGTGAAAACCCAAATAAAACTTGATAAGAAAAAATTCAAGTCCAGTGGACGAAAGATAGCATGTTTTTCACCAGATTTATATATGCACTCTACAATTCTGTAGCCTTGAAATATAACATTCCCCCTCAAGTCTAGCTGTCTTGCTCTGACAAATTAGCAGGAGACTGTGGAACATAATTCTCTGTTCAGATTTCTGAGTCAACGAATATCCATCTAGTCATCAGCTGGTAGTACAGGACTGAACTTCACCAATGATTTCTCTAGCTAAGGTATTTTTTGGGTAGAAGCAGTACATGCCACAGAACCAACTTCTCCTTTGGTACTTTTATTATAATCCACTGCTTCTGGGTGCAAACTGTTCCAAGGGCACATCTTCTCCCTCCCTCCCTAGGACCTACCCAGCCACGAACAGAATCTCCATGTATCTTTTTTTTCAAATTAAAAAAAAAAATTTTAGTTGTCAATGGATCTTTATTTTATTCATTTATATGTGGTGCTGAGAATAGATCCCAGTGCCTCGCACGTGGTAGGCAAGCACTCTGCCACTGAGCCACAACCCCCATTCCCACATTTCTTTATCATCATTACTCATTTGTTGTAGTCCCAACACTAACATCTGCCCTTCCTTCTTCCTTTCTCTCTAACTCATTAAGAGAAATATTGAGATTCAAGGTTGATGAAAAAATCTTAAGACAAATCTTAAGACAAATCTTAAGATCTAAGCCTCAGGGAAGAGAGATTTGATGTGGATAGCTAATCTTCCAAGTCCAGCCTAATCTATCAAGTACCGGCTGGCCATTGTTCAGGATGTCCTCCTTGAAGCGAAGTTTTCGTTCCAGATCTTGAATGACGGCATCCTTTGTGCCTTGAATCTCCTCATCAGAGGCTATTCTAGCAGTTCTACTGGCCTTCTTTGGAAATCCCCTACAGAACAAAAGCACAAGGTCATAATGTCAGTTGTCAGGCATCTAAATCCAAGTTAGAATTCAAGTCCAACAAACAGACAGAACAACGTATCAACATGTCATTCCCACATTTTTTTTTTTAAATGCTGCATCTAATTTCAACTATTGTGGAAAGAACCTTGAATGTGAAAGCTGGTTTCAGAAGTTCAGGAAACACTAATTGGAACCAGTTTTCAGAGAAGGTTCAAATACCTGGGGGGAATGTGTCTCGGTGGTTAGGTCAATACCAAGAATAAGAAAGGCCTGTATTTTAGTCCCAGGGAAGCAGAAATGTAAAGTGAAATATTGATGTGATTTATAATAAGGCCTAGGTTTAAAATCTGACTCTACCTTGTTTATATTAGGTTTGTGATCTTGGGTAAGTTTCTTAAGACCTCTTGTAAAACATAAAAATATATACCACATAGGAATTTTGAGAAGATTTGAAAGAGGACATATTTCTTTCATACTTTGATTCAATTTTCTAGTCCTTTCATAATTCACTTCTCTCACCCATTCTAAGCAAATACATGTTGAATATCCCTTATCTGAAATGCTTGGGGTCAAAGTGTTCTGGATTTTGGAATATCTGCATGTACATAATGAGATCTTGGGGATGGGACCCATTTCTAACCCTGAAAGTCATTTGTGTGTTCTACATACCTATACACATAACTGAGAGGTAATTTTATATATATTTTTTTTACTGTGGCTGCTTTTTGACTGTGACCCATCACATGAAATCAGGGGTAGAATTTTCCACTTCTGGCATTATGTTGCTGCTCAAAATGTTTTGGATTTTGGAGTATTTCAGATATTTGATTTTTAAATTAGGGATGTTCAGCCTGTATTAAGTTTGTTAACTTTCTTTCTGTCCCTTATATGTAGAAAATATCCTAATTAATAGAACCTAAATTTTCCATGTCCATCATTTTTAGTTATTTGCCCTTAAAGTTCAAATGAGAGCACACCAGAGTTAGACATTTAAAAAAATACTAAAGATATCAGATACTGTGACATTTTGTATTTGTAATGTCAAAGAGATGGTTGGTTCAACTTCAAATTGAATCCTTTTCATTGGAGATTGAGAAGGATACCATTTATTTAGGGGACTAGGCTACGAACTGAGTCATGTTAGTAACAGTCATAGGAATTATGATTTATAATCTCAATTTTCACTACTATGTGGCCCTTTAACAGAAACATGCATAGTTTGTTAGCTTTCCTGTACCTGGAGCCTCCCTCCCTCCCAGTTTAATGTCTCTTGGAAAGTCTCCCTAAGTCTATCCAATTAGTCATGCAGGTACCATGTTTATTTTCCTTATGGTGTCTCTCACACTAACACTATGTGTCCTTAAATGGTTTCTCTCACCATGGCTCTTTTGTTTATCACAGTACTTGTTAACAGACATGCAGATGTTTCTGCCGTGAGTGGATGTCCTGTCTCTCTTTACTTATGACCTCTCTTTCCCTCGTCAGTCAAGGAAACTTGTGCCAGAGCCATGTAACATCAGATCTCATGTAAAAAGTCAGACTTGGGACAAGTAACTACTACAAAAATGGAAGTAAAGTTCTGCACTGCTTTTGACTATAGACTTACATCTGAGATATAGAAGAGCTAGGTTTTAAAGTCACCGGAAAGATAAAATTGAAGATAGCTCATTCTCTGTTACATCAGGTATTATTGGGCACACACAGTTTTCCATTATTACTCAAAGCCTGAACAGCATAACTTAGTTGCACAACTATGTGATGATGAGCAACCTTTGATGACAGATAGCATCACTGTTTCTGCAGGCGGCTACACTGAGAGCTGTGTTCTCAGCATTGATGAGAATGAAAGGAGTAGGAAGGTGAATGTCAAGGGGAGAATAGGTCATTTAAACAGGAAAAGCAGAAGACTACTACAATTGCCTTGGACTAGTAAAAAGATACCTACAATTGTCTGGTTGCTTAGAAAACACTTTTCACTATACTGGACTCCTCTATGGGGACTTAGAACCACTGCTCTGAAACATTTTATAGAGAAGCAAATTTGGGTTGGATCTCGCCACCCAAGAATTCTATCATTTCAGAGAGTACAATTTAGTTTACTCTTTGACCTCCATAAAACCCCAAATCATTCTATATTTCTTTTAACAAATCCATTTCCTAAACGACAAGATTGCCAGCAGTAAAAGGATGTGTAACTTAATTCTTCTTTTCCCTCTATTTTAAGGACATTTTCCTTTACTGACAGAATTTTAAGTACTCATATTTCTTTGGTTCTGAATAGTCCAATAGTCCAATACTCATTCCATTACAATAATCATTATAATGGCCAACAGATACCACTATAAAGTTTGGGGAAAGAGGTAGAGAATACAGCATCTAGCAAGGTACAGTGCTAGGTTAATACATCAACCCAAATCTGGTTAAGTCTAGACATAAATAGTTGGTTTGTAAAGTGAGTTTATTGCCTGATGACATCATGGAATCCTACTATGAATGAAAAATGTTATGCATAAAAGGGTGGTGGGGGGGAGCTTCATCACTATAGTCTCAACATTATCTTATGTGGGATTGCAAGGACAACCAAATCCTAAAGGAAGGGCCTTCATCACAAGAGGTTAGTTAACAATCAAGTTGGGAATAAATTAAGGAACAAACCACATGGTACTCCTAGATACAGCACAGTAAAAACTGCTGGCTAGAATGAGAACTGGGACTTTACTGAGGAGGTGAGTACCTAAAGCAGACTATGAAAGGTGATGGCAGGTAGCAAAGGGGACAGGAAGGAATTCAGAGGCGGCATGATCAAAGGCACAGAAGTGGGAATCAATTGCTCTCTCTCTTTCTTTCATTTAACCACCAAGGAGCTCCAAGTCTTGAGCTAGTTACCTAATGACTCTGTGCCTCAATTTCCTCTTCTGTAAAACGCGCATGTGAACAGCATGTGCCTCATAGGCCCACAACTTAAGCTAGCATATGTTAAGCACTTAGAGCAGGGTCTGGCATCGTAAGAGTGATCTGGAGAGGCCAACACAAAATGTCCAGCATGGAAATGAATCACAGAGACGAAACTTGCCAAGGGAAACTGAATGAATGAGGGGAAGGAGTTTAAAAGGTGCCAAGAGTTTCCAATAATGCACAAATAACCCTCACTGACTGCCTTTTCAATGCTCAACTATGCTGTTCTAGGGGCTGGGAATACAATGCTGAACAAAACTAAGTCACAATACTTAGAAAAATTATATTGTAAGGTGGAGGTGACAGAGAAAGGAAGAAAATAAGAAGAAAAAGAAGGAAGGAAGGTAGTGAGTGCCACAAAGTGACAGGTAGATAGCTATATTAGTATTGTCTATCAGCTCTCTAGAGCTGAGGCCGTGGGTCAAGGACATTGTTGGTTGTATGAAAACCTGAAGGGAGAGGGCTAGGCAGAATGGCTCAGCCAGAATGAGCCTGAGCAGGGCCAAGAGATGCCATTATAAACCTTGGGGAAAGAAGTAGACAATACAGTATTTCTCATGCTTATTCTAATACAGAACCTCTTCTTTTTTTCAGAGAGCAACTCCTTAGGAAACTGTTAAAAAAAAAAACATAAGATTTAGGGTTAGCATGTAAGTTTAGTGTTAGAAATCAGAAAAGGAGTTATTTGGGAAGGGGGAGACACCAGGAAAGAAAAGCAATTGTACACTTTTGAGGCAATGCTTTGGCAATTGAGTTTGTTTTCCTATAAAACTATTTCTGTGCTGGAGTTTAATGTAAAATGGTTGTGGGTTTGTGCCCCCAAATGTCACCTACTTTTGATAAATGAGGAGTAGCAAATCATGAAGGGGGAAAAAAAAGAGTATCTAGTGACAAAGGGATGCTTTCTGTTCATGATGATTTGTACAATTTAAAAAGAAAAATGCTTATTCAAAGTAAATTGTTACCAAAACCAGAACTCTTCACAAAAATCCATAATCAGAGGCAAACCTTAATCAGTAAACAATTCATAACAGGCCGCCCACATTTATACTTCATGTATACACACTCAGCCCAACTGTGCAAAAAACATTTCTGATCTGTTTACTCTGGCTTTAACAGTAAGTCATTTGCCATTTTAAAATAATATTCATGTGGTTGGGGTAAAACATTTAAAATATATACACAAGCATCTGGAAGGTAAAATCTTCCAGATTTGACCACTACCAAACCCAGGAGGTTTCTCTCGCTTTTTTTCTTTCAACTACTGAAGAATTTTGAATATAACCTTCTCTTGAATTGTTCTTGGTCAATTCTGTCAGTATATTTCATAAACTCAAATCTCCAGAATATAACATCGATTTAAGAGATCAAGAGCCTATCTAGCAACCAGAGAATGTTTTTAAATTAGTTAAAAGTCTTCTTATTCTCCTCTTTACAAATTCAGTGAAATCTGAGGGTAACTAAATCCCACAAACATTACAGAGTGAGCAAACTCATTAATTTACTAGCAAATATTTAGGTAAGTAATGTATTCGTCTAAGATACACAAACTGAATTTTGGTAGACCAATTCTTTTTTTTTTTTTTTTTTTGGTACCAGGAATTGAATTCAGGGGCACTCAACCACTGAGCAACATCCTCAGCCCTATTTTGTATTTTATTTAGAGTCAGGGTCTCACTGAGTTGCTTAGCATCTTGCTGTTGCTGGGATTGCAGGCATGCACCACCATGTGGGTGATTCAATCCTATTTTTAACAGAATTTATTGTGATGCAAATAATAAGTACAAAAATGGGTACTGAGATCTTATTTAAATGTTCTAATATTTAATTGTTTTCACATTATCTATTATGAAGAATGAAATGACAAAGATGCATTGTCTACACCTATTGGTTCACTCTGTGCAACTCAATGCAGAGCCATGCACTACTTGACAAGTCTAACTCTGAGCTGACCCTGGTGCAGAGATATTTCATCAGAACCATCACTTCGTGAACTCAGATGTGGCCTTGCCTACTAATCTGTTGGGAAAT